ATGAAAATAGCTTTTCTGATGTACACAGCGCTTTAAGGCATTATAATAAACGTTTAACTGAAGTGATAGTGCCATGTTTGAATATCATATTCCTTTAATCATGATCTAATTTTATCCTCATAATAAATGACGTGCCAATGAGCCAGTCTATAGTCGATCGTTCTAAAACTTAACCGTTGATAGAGGCAACGACTGAGGCAGTGTCACTTACTTCATTTGCTCCGCTTCTGTTGAAGTTCGGCTCCGCCTTAAATTGTCGCCAAAATTAATATGATGCTCCGTATGCTAGCATTTAGTCTTCGTTGACGGAGCCAAAGTGAACCAGGACAACTTTGATCTATATCACTTGTCGAATCATTAAATTACAAGTTACAAAGCCTAAACCATGCCCACTATCAGAGAGGCGGTTCTCCTTTAACCGTTAAGAAAGTACGTCAAACTGCGCACCGGTTACGCTACGGCCAGTTAGGAGAGATCACTGCAGAACAGTTCTTCCTAAAATCATTCGAACATTATGCAATTCGTACCAATATTAAAATGGATATATTCTCGGCACATATTGTCTTGAATTTATTTTAAGTATACCAATCATTTCAATTTTACTTGGTATCCAATTTATTTTGCTTCGACCAGACGTTTCAATCTTTGTGTTTAAATCTTTGTCGCAACAGACACACATTTCAGAATTTCAGACATGGCAATACTTTGTGAATTTATGCATAAGTTCTACTTTTTCACAAAAATATGCAACTTTATTAGTAAACAACGTGCATATACCAAGAACATATGAAAAATTGACTTGTGCTTCTGATATTCAACTGTAATGGAGAGCGATTTTCAATGCTGATTGACTGTTTACATCATTTGGCGGCGGCTTTGATGTGCAGCATCAACATCTAACTTGTTATTTTATGAGACGAATGCTTTTTTGTGGGATGTTATAGATTATATGATATTTATTTAAAATTTGCTTTACTGATAAAATCATACCGTTGAAAATAAAGATATTAGATTGAACATTGTATCTATTAATAAATTCGTTATAAGATAAAAACTTTCCATTAGATGCTATTAGGTGTTCTATGTCATAAACACCAGCATCGAACCACGATTTTAAACACACGCTTTTTACCAATTAATATGTTATTGTTATAAAATAAAGGATGTTTTCCGAATGAATGATTTTCGATTGGAATTAATTCTATATATCGTGATAAGGCTGTAAAGGTGTCCATCCAAAAAAGATTGTTTGTTTCTTTAGCAATTTTATCAAGTAATGGCCATGTTTCCGCAGTGAAAAAATATTTGCAAATCTTTTTTGTCGTAAAGAATACTCTTCAAACTAGCATTTGAGATTATTCTTTAAAATCATGTTATTTTTAATGCCATGATAAAGGCAGAAATGTTTATCATCTGCAAGCCGCCCTCAGCATAGTTTTTTTTACAATAACGGAAGACTTAATTTTTACATTTCCTTGCCAAATAAAGTCATTAAACATTTTATTTAATACACTGATTACATCTCAGAAGGTCTCCATTTTTTCACGAATTTTGGAATACATGTTATTAGACCTTTGGGTTACTGACAATTTATTTGAAGTATAAGCATCATTGATAGCTCTTACAACAAAAGGACCTAAATCTTTCCAGAATACCTTATAAAAATCGGCACTAAAGCCTGATGTCCCCGGGCTTTCATTATTTGCCATATATTGTAAAACTTTACTAGCTTCTTCATAACTTACATATAGACTTCTAATACATTGAATTCCGATTCACTTAAAACCGGTGCTTCTTTATTTTCAACAAATTGTAAAAATTGATCATTTGCATCATATGACGACTTTTTGCTTAAAAGAGTTCTATAAAATTCTTCAATTTCTTTTAATATTAACTAATGATCATTTAGAATACTACCGTCATCTTTTTGAATTTGATATAATTATAGTCTTAGTTATATAATTATATTTTTCCAAACCGCAAAAAAATGAAGATTTTTCTCCTTCTAACGTCCATTTTGCTCTTGACCTTATAATATAACCTTGAAGCTGAATATTATTAAGTTCTTTTATATTATTTTGCATTTTGTGCAATCGGTTAAGTTTATCGTCTGACAAGTTTGATTCCATTTCATGTATTTCATTTATTATCCTTTTTTCATCATTTCTTTCTTTTTTCTTTAGACAACTACTGTGAGATATAGCTGTCCCTCTCAGTTCCATTTAAAGTGTTTCTAAAAACAACTGGTCGTTTATCGTAAGCTGAATTTCATCATTTGGTATTTCCGAAATCTTTTCAAGGTTATATATCGGTAAAGCATACTGTTTTTTAATATCAGTTATTTTTGTCTGTATTTTATTCAAATAATCTATATATTTTAAAAGGGAATTATCATGTTTCCATAGACCTTTTCCGTGTATAAAATCATTAAACTTTATCTTCATTATAACAATGGAATGATCTGACTGATTGCTTTTCTCAATATAAATATTTTCTACATGAGGAAAAATTGTTTCGGTTACCAGGAAAAAATCAATGCGTGCCTGTTGGAGTGGAGTCGGTTTACGCCATGTGTATCTGTTCAGATTTGGAACAAATTCTCTGAATGGATCAAAAAGATTTTGCTGATCAATATTTTGTAATATGAAATTTCTAGCTTTATCATTATTTACAAATTTATAGTTGTAATAATCTTTTTCAGGATCTAGAACTAAGTTCAAATCGCCACACAAAATATAAGAATCGTTTCCTATTCTATCAATGATATCAAACAGTTCACTGTAAAAATGGTTGATCTATATCTGGACCGTAAAGACTTATAAGGGTTGATCTTTTATCCTAAATTGTTATGTCTAAAACAATAAAGTTTCCTTTGTTATCAATATTAATGCTATGGATTTTATATTCAATATTTTTATAAAAAGAATTGCAAATTTCCGTGAATTGGATGTCCCTTGGCTCAGGAAACATTTACTATTCCATTCACAGTATATATTTTTATACATATTTAACGTTAAGTATGTATCTTGTAAATAGTCAATACTGCAATTTTTCTGTTTCAAAAATTTAGATAACTCAATTCTCTTTTTTGAACCGTTAAGACCTCTACAATTCAAAGATAGGATAGTTAGGCTACTTGCATTCATCTAAAACGTATATTTGAAAAAGAAAAAATACATGTTTCATGGAAGATTATGTGAACAAAACACAAACAATGCAATAAATCATTATACAAATACAGACAATAACACACATACAAAATTGTATATACAAAATAAACACAGAAAGGACAATTGTTCCCAGTATAAAACTTGAGAAAAATAAATAAATCACTTATACACTGGATATATTTTTCATTATGTTTAAATGCAAAAATATGATAGTAAAAAGAACCCAGATGGCTCGAGTATTCTTCATTTTCTTTTATGTACAAACAAGCGCTTGAAAAGCTCAGTCGTCTTTTAACCAGAATAATTTAGTTGAAATAAATATAGCTAAAATTAAAAACACCATAAATTGAAAAATCGAGCTAAATTTAAGAAAGAAGCGTCTTATAGTTTCTTAAAGGCTTACATCTATTTCTTACAAAAATAAATACTAAAAAGAAAAAACAACAAAAAACAATGGTAGACGAATTATTGGGAATAAAAAACACACAGAAAAATGCAATTTCATTTTTTGTACTTTAATACAAGAAAGTTTCATTTTAAAAAAAGAAAACAGTTCTCACCCGCCCCAAACCACTAGATATTAATTTAGGGCATCAAACATATTTAAGCATACAATAAATGCTAAGTGGTGATTCCTGCAGAGATATGACTTTAGGCATAATATGCACTTTTATAAAAACTGACTTCTAAGTATTTATGATTTTATTATGTGCTGCATGAATAGAGTGAAAGAGAGAAACAAAAAACGTTTTAAAGCACAATGAATATTATATCATTAAATTAAAGTTATATTGAAATGAACATCAAAGTAATGTCTTTACGAAAAAGCGGAAAAAAAAAAAAAAAAGATCATTACAGAGAGATTTCAAAAGTATAAATGTGATTATTCACACTGATAAAACTTCTAGTTTTGTGATTATTTTATTGATTATATATAGCTATTTTTTGTTAAGATTTATTGCTATTATTATTGTTATTATTATTATTATTTATTATTATAAGTCACGCTTAGCACAAAGATATGCAGTAAAAACATCTCTAGGGTAATGTCTTGGTAAAGAGACAAGATCATTACAGAGATTATACCTAAAAAAATGAATAAATGAACAACAAAATCAAAAGCAAACAAAAACTTTGCTGAATGTCACGTATATGTAGACATTTGTTATTTAAAATCATTTTAACTTAAGTTTTAGCATTTTCATATTCTATTTTTCAAGAAAAAAAGTATAGCCGTTTATTTAGGGGAAAGACAAGTTTAAGTCAAAGGCTGTCAATTTATCATGTTTTATCTCTAAATAGTCTATTTGGCATTTCCCTTTCCTGGCCACGGAAGGTTCAACCAGTAATCAATATCGGCAAACTTGATTTCTTTTGTCTTAAATCGTTTTATTCCATTTTGGTCGTCCATGAATGTCGCAAAAATCTTTCCATCCGTACACCAGCATTTTAAATTTTTTACTGAATTAGTTTAAGGCGAAGAGAAGATAACACCTGTTGATTCAACCACGTGAGATCATGGTTTATGAAAATATTTGTTGTTTTCAATCTCTTTTTTTTTTTGGAAAACTTCATTTTAAACTTGTCTTCGTCACAGGTTGATCTTTTCCTTTGCAATAAACAGTTAATCTAAAACAGTTTTTGACCTGGCCATTTTTACCTTTGTACATGAAATGCATAAATATGATTCGGCTTCTACGCGTATAATTATGTATGTGCTATCTAGTTCATGTGCCCTTATACCATCATTATTGTGCTTTGATGTGCTTTGTCACGTATTTGCATGAGACGGTTTATTCCGAAGCGTTTTTTTTACTTACATTGTTATACAATTATAAATGAAATTATTGAAGCAAAAGTGTTGAAGCAAAAACGGATTGCGTATGTTTTAATAACCGATGTTAATATCTCGTAAAAGTGTTTATCTTTACATTACACCGGATTATGTTTTAATAGATTGTTATAACTGATAATCTTTTAACAATTATTCCCGGCAGGCGATATCACGCGGGGTGGCTAGAATCACGTGCTTTTGTATAGTAATACCCTTGAGAAAATGGCGACTGCTGAGCCCCAGTAAGTACCTTATTATGTTAAATTAAGTTGACAAACGTTTCAAAACAAAACCTAGCGTATCATATGCGCGCCAATTTTTTATTCAAATGGCAATACAAAGTGCATTATCCTACGTTTTGTGGTTTTTGAGAACATTGTTTGAATTGTGTGAAAATTGCACATGCAGCGATAGTAATTCGCACGAAGCGGTATAATTTGGTACCGAAATATATGAAAATAAGCTTTCTTTTTGCATTTAAGACACCAAATCAATCATTTTATTGACATCTGTTATCGTTGTAGCCTACAAACATTCTTTGCAAGTGTATAGTAAGTAAATCGAACAATATCTGGATAGTAAAATAGAGAAATACAGAATCCCTAAAGAAAGCCCAACACGACAAAATTGAAAATGTTGCAGGCTCGGTTTGATTGAGCTTGTTCATGGACGGTACTGGAAAGTGCAAGTTACCGTCCACGCCCTCTAGCACCGGCTTAAGCAGAATTCAACATTTAAACACGAAAATGGTGAAATATTGAATTTAGAGACATCCGCAAATGTATTCATACGGCGATTGTCATGGAACCTTCAATGTGACACAGTAGTGCCTTTCCATGAAAAGCGGCGTATGGTCCCCAGGTAAAAGAATGCATGTGCCCTAAGCGAGAAAAAATGGGCGGAACTAAATAAAATGGAATTTTGAAAGGGGATCTAAGGTTATGAAGCCTGCATATTACAGACAAGACATCAAAAGACAAATTTAAAAAGCAGGCAACATAAGATAAGTAAGTCGCACGAAAACAAAATAAAAAGTTTCACGCACTGTTTCAAATAGCATACATATATTAAAGTTCACATGTAAAGAGATAGTAAATATTTATTTCAATTATTCAAGATCACTTTTTGTCTATAGGACGAATACTTAACTGATTGTTTTTATAACATATCAAATGAACTTTTGATGGGATTTCATATCACACGACTCAATGTTATTTTTCTTTTGCGATAGTAGTTCTTTGACCTCTGCATTGTCAGGTGTGTTTTGGCCCTCATTTTATTTTAATTAGAAAAAAGATGTACAAATATAATTGCTTGTTTTTTGGTACGGTGATGTTTATTAACTGAATGCTGATGTTTTTATATGGCGGTATTTGTTGAATTTATTCACTATGTTACTTAATTTATGAAAATATTTTGAAGAATTTGCAAACAACAACAACAACAAGACAATGATACAGTATTTCAAGTTATGATTAAAGGCACATCAGAAATCCACATTGTTTTAATTCTTTAGAAATGACAAACATGTGTTTGATAATTTTTCAATACTTTCATTACAACTGAAAAAGGTAGCACTGAACATTAAGTATATGTATCGTAAAGGTAGCGAAATGTAAACAAAGTAGTATTTTGACTTCCGTACAAAACACTTATTTACTAAAGGTATACCACTTGCAAACAGAACTTAAGATGTATCTAAGATAGTTTGAGTATCTAGCAAATGAGTATGTTTTTGGAAACTGTAACAAGATACCAAAAATAAGCAGTTTTTTTTGTTTTGTTTTTTAATAAAAATGATAACATTTCAGAGGCATAATGGGCCTTTAAAAAACGAATATTTGGAATCAAACAGTCATAGATATTTGTACTTTTTAAAGTGAAGGCAAGTGTAGTAAAAAAAAAATACACCTGAGTTAAAGCACCGACGTTTTGTTAGCTAGTTTGATGAAAGAATTCAAGGACGCTGGTGGGACTAGAATCCATAGCGGTGAGAAGCATGTATATAAAAATCAGGGACTTTAACCACACGGCCATGGGCGCCCTGAATATCTTATTTACTTATTCTACCACAAACAAAAACTAAGAATGCACGACGCAACACATTTGCACATGGTAAGAAAATAAGCGTATAGTTAAACATACCGTTTTAACAAAATTTCTTGGGTTTATTTATAAAATCTACCAGTGTATAAAAGAATAAATTCAATAAAAACTTTGTAAACCATTTTTATGATGGCATTAAGTATCAATGTGATATTGCGAATGTCTTCTCCTTTGCAATTTTGGTCCAAATTGCAGATACTGAAAAGTAAATGATAGTGTTGTAACATTTCCTTCTGCACAGTTATATCTTTATATATCTAGTTCTACAGATGACGGATGTGGGTCCGGTCTAACGTGTAGAACGTACATTGTTGAGTATCAATGTCAATGTCTTGTTTTTTAGGTAATCTTTTATGAAATTATATGAATATGAATATATGTATTATGAAATAATATGAATTATTATTAAAATACTTTCTCGACATTTGTTCTCTGTCACCGTAGACGGAACACACTTGCGAATTGGTAACCAAAAGAATTATAAAATAGTTTCGTTAAATTTGAGAAAGCTATAGGAACCTGTGCGTGAAACTTATTATTTTTCGTGCGACTTACCATCCAGAAATTGTTCGTTTTTCTTACTAAACACTTGCAAAAACATTTGTAGGACTAAACACTTGCAAAAAACATTTGTAGGCTTCAGACCTTCGAGCAAAATTATATATGGACTTCTACAAGAACACACGTAAAATGATTGATTTGTCACCTTAATTTAACATAATAAGGTACTTGCTGGGGCTCAGCAGTCGCCATTTTCTCGTGGGTATTACTATACAAAGTCACGTGATTCCCCTCCGTGAATATTTACGTGAAATATTGAGTCTCGTATACATTCATGAAACGTAAACATTTTGTAACATACGTATGTGTATTAACATTGTAAGACCTCGAGGGCTGAGCCCAAGTAATTATATCTAGTAGTAGCAAATAAAAAAATAGATGTTAATCACAACAAATTTTTATATAACGTAGTTTACTACTGTAAGAAAAAGTATAGTTCTTTAATTTTTATTTAACTCTTCCATATATAGCATAACACTTCTTGCAAAATTCAGTAGACTACGCAATATATATCACATTAACGCCAAAAACATCGACTTGACAATGTAAAATGCCAAAAAATCAACAAGAAAAACAATGTTTTTAGAAAATACAAATATCAACTGATTTGACATTTATCTGGAGATTCGAATCGTTTCATGTATGACACATTTTTAATACTTTCCATGTAGTCAAGTTTATAATCCACTGTTTAGGAAAAAATGAATATGACAAACTATATAGTAATGTTCAGCCATGCGCTTCGTATCATAGACGAAAACAAATCTTTTGAAATGACAAAAAACTGATTGTTTTCAATTATTTCGTACGTCTATAATATTATGTTGCATCGTGTCTAGGTTTAATGTTATACCATGTTACCAAACATAATATCGCTTCAATAGATTTTGTCACATAGTATATAAAGCATTTAATACGAAATAATAAACACAGACAGTTTAAATGTATTTTTGTATTTAAAGGTTTAGATGCTAAACTTACAAGTAAGAAATATAGGTAAAAACACAGATTATGTATTAAATGTCATAGAACTTTAATTGAGAAAGAAGTATCATTCTTTGCCTATTTTATTCTTACGTAAAATTACTTCATTTACAAAGATATTATTCACCATTGCCAAATATAAATAAATAATATAAATAAATTTATAAAGAAACATTAAATGAAAGTATTGCATAAATTCATCTCTTAACATAAGTAAGAATATTGTCAAGGTTTGTGTTTAACGCTCGTTTTAATTTCATACAAATATGTTATTTTGTTACAGTTGTTATCATACGCTTTTCATGTTGGGCTCATTATGTACTTTCATAAACATGTTAAATTTTACCCGCCAGGAATGTCATCAGGAGATCTACCTGTATATTATATTATATATTTTTGATCGTGTTTACAAATACAATCAAACGATAAAATTAGATGATTAACACATGTCTTATCAGACGAAAAAAACATCTAAGTAAAGTATTTGCATTGTTTATTATACTGTTTTTTTTTAAACCGTCGCAACGTTTTACTTTGTAAATATCGACTTAAATTATAAACACACCTGATAAACTGAATGTAAGAAAATGAGTTTGTTACGGGTAAAACAATTGTGGGATTGGTAAATCTTTTATCCTGCTATTGATTGCTGCATATTATATCATAGAAAAGCATGTCTTACAAAAGATACAAAAATATATCTTCGTAATCCGGTTTAAAACTTTCATTTATATACTAAAATAGATAGAAATAAGAATCCCTAAAGAAAGCCCAACACGGCAAAATTGAAAATGTTGCAGGCTCGGTTTGATTGAGCCTGTTCATGGACGGTACTGTCAAGTGCTAACTACCGTCCACGCCCCCTAGCACCGTCTTAAGCAGAATTCAACATTTAACATGACCTGGTAATTTAGAATTTTGAAACATCCGCAGATGTGTTCATATGGCGGTTATCATGGAACCTTCAATGTGACACGTTAGTGCCATTCCATGAAAAGCGGCATATGATCCCCAAGTAAAAAACTGCATGTGCCCTAAACGAGAAAACAATGGGCGGAACTAAATAAAATGGAACTTTGAAAGGGGATCTGACAATTATGTCGTGCTAAACGATCTTTAAGGATCGGAAATATAACATCCCTGATTGAATATACGGGGCGACTTTTTACGGCCTCCACACGGCACAAACAACGCTGATGTGGCGATAAAATAGATAGAAATAAGAATCCCTAAAGAAAGCCCAACACCGCAAAATTGAAAATGTTGCAGGCTCGGTTTGATTGAGCCTGTTCATGGACGGAACTGTCAAGTGCTAACTAAGTTCTACCTGCATCAAACTGTTTTACACGCTACATGTTAACGGGTGTCATAATACAGCTCTTAATATCTGTGTCAAATGAAATACATAACTATAAGGTTACGGTTATCTCATGGAAACTGCATATACTGCTGTGCGTATTTTTTCTATACATGCTGCTATAATCATGCAATTAACATATATGTACTTCCGAAATGAACAGATACATTCTTTCATACAATTTGGTTTGTAGATACATGCCGGAAGAGAACGCAAGGAAGAATGACAGACACGAAACAAAAACAAAACAAGTCATGGACACGGGATATGCGTGGAATATATTGTTAGGTTAACTTTAAAATTATTTGTTACATAATTCATTTACATGTCCGACCAGGCATGCCTGCTCATTGGGGTACTTAATATTTTTTAGATGAGATGAGCAAAGCGTCCTCAATATGCTTTACGGTATTAAGTATTCATTAGTTTCAGTTAAGTTTGACCATGTTTTGTCTTTGAAATTTTCTTAAAAATGAAACTAGATTTCATATCTTGTCGCTTTGCTCTGTGCCAGTATCTCAGTAGTTACAATAAAACTCTAAATTGTATAGTACAGAACTTAAGAATTTATGACAATAAATATATTCTATGTTATGAATTCCACATGTAAATATTTGATAACAAACGGAATAGACCAATTTTGCTTTTGACTACATATTGAACATTGATATATATTGTCTATCAAATTTTAACACCAATTATTAGCTTAAAGATTATTTCACAATACTTCTAAATCACCTTCTAGAAGACCAAATTAATTTATTTTGTGTTAAGTAAGAAATAGAAATAATTACTATTTAGCTTAACTCCTAAATTAAGAGTATCTAATGAAATCTTTAAAGGAATAGGAATGGATGGATTGATATCTGTCTAATATAAATATTCATCATTTAATAAGAGGTACCATGACAGTTTTCCTGTTGACATCAACCCTATAAGTGAGAAATTCGTGTTTTAAGACACTATTTTTTACTTGAGAAATAAGTTCATGGGCGCCGCCATTTTGGCGTTCTGTCATTTTCGCAAGACAGACGAGACCGAGATTGTGACGTGTTATACCCACTTCCGGTAAAGGTGTACACGCTGGTACAACTGAAATATATCTTGATGAAGAACTTAATTAATCTTATTGCGTACATTATTTATTATTTTATGAAAACATCATATGGAACTGAATTGCTTTAATTAATTAATTGAAGACGCCGCGGCATTAATTATCATTTTTCCGATTTTCAAGCTTGCTGATGATCCCACCACATGATTTAAGTAATGACTGCTTAGTTTTCAAAGATAAACCATCAATTTAATTTGGGTGTTTTGAGAAACTTCTTCAAATTGAAGATATATCCTTTTATTTTGTACTTAATTTTCGCTAGACAAGCTGTCCGAATAGGGTACATCGCCGGTCATGTATCTTTTTCTCAGCGTAAAATATCAACTAAGTCCAATATGCAGAGATCTGCTGAGGACGCGATTTTCCGACATTGACGCTAAAAATAAAATGGCGCAGGAAATTCGGCAGCTAGAGTAATATCGTATGAAAACAAAACTGTCCGTTCGGTTATTTAGGCACCCAGTCAAAACTGGTACCAACAGCAACAGGTTGCCCATTGGCATATTCTCGGGTTTATCCAGTTCCCTATAGCTTTTTTCCACGTTATCTACTTACCCAATCCCTTTCCCACACTGATACGCATTTCTACTACCGTAAATTTAATACAATAAAACAAAAAATCATAAATCTACTTAATATTTAAAATGATTATTAATAACTGAAAAAAAATGTGTTGCTTTTGTATGAAATGCTGTAATTTGCAGTATAACTTGACAGGTGCGGAACTTAATTTCCCCTGAGGTCATTCAGTTCACTGATGAAGCGTAAAAAATAGATGTCTATTTCGTCATTAGAATATTTGACAAGGGTGATTAACCAATCAGGGCAACATTGTGCATGATCAAAAGGTCTGTCGACACAGAGGCATACAAGGAGCAATAAAAATCGTTAGTACACAGTGTGACAGGAACATTTAGTGCAAATTAGGAACAATTAAAATGGATAATGCACAGTATTAGACATAAGTAGTAAGAACCAGCAATTGTGTGAATAAATTATGCAAATGAGATTTTTGAGCAGCCAATAAAAATGTTTTGCCTGCAGTTAATATTAGGCTATGATTACGATGTAAATAAATACCACGCAGCATCATACGTTGACAGACATGTTAACAATTAACTTTTCAAAAGAGTTACTTATATTTTTGAAATGTGTACATCACTACTAACATATGTTCACACTTTTTAATTTGAAAGTCAGAATCAAACTGCAAAATTTAATTACATGTACTATTAAGAACACGTTTTAGTAGGATTTTTATAATAATGATAATTATCGCCGTTCAATAATAAATAGCCAATTATTCGTTGGTGCGTTTGTTTATTTAATTGATTATTTGATTGTGAAACTTTGTTACATACATGTGTATTTATTAACTCTGTGAAATATTTTTTAATTACATTAAGATGAGACTTTAATGAACATAGCATTATTTGGAGTAACGGGCATCACTGGCCTGAAGTGGTGCGACCGGTAGACGTTGATTTTTTTTTGTTTCTTTATTTATTTTTTTTTTTTTTGGATATTGTTGCGTATTTTGAACCATAAAAAAATCTCCTCTACACCTCCTGTGAAAATTAAATTGTCTGGTCAATACTTTAGTATATAAATATTTCGCCATGATTCAACTAGATTTATCATAAATCTAAAGATGTGGGGAAATGACATCACGCGCACCTGTTTTTATACGGCCAATACACAAACATGGCCGCGCCTACTGATTTGTAGAAATCGGTGATTTAGCGATTGAAATTTCGTTATCATTCGTTTAATTTTATTATTTGGCGGCAGAAAATTTGCAGTTTTATTATTTATAGTATTCTTTTTCTGAAATCAAGTTTTTATTATAACCTTGTCTTTCCCTTTAATGATTCAATGAATATATTCTGTATATAAATATAAATGTAACATCAATTTTCTTTTTACTTGTAGGAAGTGTTATCAATTACCTGTTCGGGTTAGGCTCATTGAAATCATTTGGTGTGTTGTACACAGAGATGTTGGATCATTTCTCGGCAGGATCTGGAAATACAGCTTGGATAGGCAGCATAACCTGGTTTCTTGTACAGGTCCTTGGTTCGTTGACATTTGTTTAAACTATCATAATTCTTACAATGTTGACTGAGTAACAATTTTTGACAATTTCATTCGTTTTATTTTCTTTTCAAAATCTAACATTAAAGACAACGATAATGAGAAAATATTAACAATGAATATGTAATATTCACAGACACACCAGCTATATGAAATAATTTTCTATTAACTGCAAAGTGTAACATTTTGAAAATCTGTTATTCAGCGCCATTTGCAAATTGTCTATGCAAAAGATACTCCTTCCGATTGGTTTCGCTTATTGGTGGTATAATGGTCGGATGTGGTTATTTCTTGTCTGGATTTGTTACTCGAATTGAGCTTATGTACTTAACCTTTACGATTATTGGTATGTTTAAGATATATCTAATTTATAAGAACAAAGCGAATACAGTAATGATGTTTAATTTCACTTAATTCACAATATATTATTTGATATTGACAATTATAGAGTTTAGCAGGCAGTAAGAATATGCCATGTATGTACAAATCTACAAAAGCTATCAATAATCGACAATATGTTGTAATGCTTACTTATGAATGTTATAAGACATCCGTGTTTTAAGTAAAAAGAGAAATATATGTATTAGTTGAACGTGTATTATGAAACATGTTTGCTGTTTAATTTTTTTTTCAGGAATCGGATATTGTTTGTCATACGTGTCAGCTTCCATTATTATCAGCTTATATTTCAAGAAAAGAAGAACTTTAGCAAATGGCGTTATGGTATCAGCCGGAGGGGTTGCTGTTCTTTCGTTCCCATCCCTTTACAGGTACTTCGTAAATAATTTCAACTGATAATATCCAACGAAAGTGTTTTTAAATACATCTCTAAACGTCTGTTGTGTTTAACCTCGTAATTATTTATCCGATATAGGTACATTCTCCTTATGCCATGAATTATACTAACTATAGAGTCATTCTCTGTCTTGTCCACATGATAAATTCATTGCTTTTAACATAAGCAGCCGCTTATATACAACCACTGTTGTCATTTTTCAGCGGCATGTCTTGAATGTAGGATTTAAACAAATCCTTGTCAAGCATTTGTCAAATTTACAATAGATAAAGTAATTCTTGTATGTGTATCATATGCATGTAAAAGTATGGCAATCACCAAGGACCAATGCTACCAATAGTTTTAAGATCTGTATTCAGGTTTATAATGACGACTATTCATTAATATATTATTCCCCTCGAAAATGTCTTCATTACAGGTTTTTAATAAACAAATATGGTCTATCACAAGCACTTTGGGTGATAGGTGCAATCGTTTCAAACATTTGTGTGGCAGGCTGTTTATTTCTGGAGCCAAACAAACCACCTCCAAGCAATAATGAACAGGCAAGAATTGAAGAAAGCATTTCAAGTGAAACTGATGAAAACCAGAAAAAATGTTTCAATGCACTTAACTTAAATTTTTGTTTGTTTAAGAACAGACGTTTCACACTGTTGATTATAGCTTTCACTGTCTGTACATTTGGTCACATTAGCAATTACATTTTAATTCCTGCTCATATTAAAACACTTGGGTAAAGTAACACTTACATTACAATAGGTGTATCTATAACTGGTGGTGCAGAATTAATCGCAAGGATTGCTGTAGGATGGTTTGCAGACTTGAATATTATTCAAAAGAAATATATATTCGTAGTCTGTATGTTTCTTGGAGGAGTTTTTGCATTGATATCACCACTTTTCTGATTCTTTTACGTTTATGGTAGTATACGCCGGAGTTGCGGGAGCGTTTCCAGCGTCATATCTTGCCCTTATATCAGTCTTAGCGATTGAAAGAGTGGGCATGGACAATTTCCCAGCAGCCCTCTCGATCATTTTTGTCTTTACGTCAATTCCGTCTTTGATCTGCCTGCCTATAGCAGGTAGGTATAACATATTAACTCGGAACTTTAACAAGCTTTGACTTTCATAAAACATTAATACAAATGTATAATAAATATGTATGTTAACTTATTCTGAGAATACAAATTATTATACTTATTGAGTTATTATCTAAAATACTAAGCTTTCTATTTATTTTACTTAAATTGTATTACACATTTTATATATACTTTATAATAAAGAAATAGCACACATTACTTAGAATTATAGTGACCGATCAGTCAGCCAACAAAATGTCAATGGACCAAAGGAACACATTTATATATGTAAATGGTTCAACGCACTCATATTTTCTTAATTTTGTCATTTTTTTAAATTTGTATGTTTTAAAATGTATTAAAAAAATCACATATTTTTGTCAGGTTGGATGGCAGATTATTACGGAAGCTGGTATCCTGCTTTTATCTTAACCGGCATTATTCTTAATTGTTCTGGTGTTATACTTTTACTAGAACCAGTTGTCATTCGATATGGCATGGGCAAGACCTATTCATTAAAAAATGTTGATAAAGAATTGGCATCTCGAGTAAACTTAGCGTATAGACATGACGGACAAGAGGATAATTTGAATAATACTTATAAAGTGGAAGAAACACACTTACCCAATAAGGAAATGTAAATCTAGAAGAAAAAAAAAGAAACATGTAAATTGAAAACCATATACTTACATTTGTATAAGAATATCACGTAATATATTATCAAGTGCAAGGATTTTTCTTTGATGACACTTAAAATAAATAAAACGTCTAAATATATGTTCTTGTGGTTAATGAAAACTAGAGTTATTGTTTTGAGTAAAATATTTTACATCCTTGCATTGTGTATTATCAAGATTTAAAGATTTGTTTTTGTAAAAATTGATTGTAAGCTAAACAAATAATGTCCTCATCAACACGACGATGAAATTATTATGTCTGGAAGTTTGTTTGCGACAATGCTATCTTTATGAAAGGGAAGGCGAAAGTTAAAGAAATAATTGTTTGTAATTCAAAGATTTAATAAAATACGCA